CCCGACCACTGAAATTCAGTTTACGATATAATTCCAAAACACCATATAAGGTCTGATAGTGAGTGGTTACTTATGATCCCTCACTAGGTCCAACCTTGAAACGGTATTTAAAATAAATGCTAATTTCCAGGCACCGTGGCTGCTTGACTGCGACTGCTTGAGCGTGATGAGGATCAATTTTTAAGTGATGACGGATTTTAAGTGCTCAATGTGCTACTTATAAGAAGCTTATGGAGGAGGAGAGTAGTATCCTTACTGAGCCAGTGTAACTCTGTAAGGAGCCAGTGTAACTGTGTAAGGAGCCAGTGTAACTGTGTAAGGAGCCAGTGTAAGGAGCCAGTGTAACTTTGTAAGGAGCCAGTGTAAGGAGCCAGTGTAACTGTGTAAGGAGCCAGTGTAAGAAGCCAGTGTAACTGTGTAAGGAGCCAGTGTAACTGTGTAAGGAGCCAGTGTAACTGTGTAAGGAGCCAGTGTAACTGTGTAAGGAGCCAGTGTAAGGAGCCAGTGTAACTTTGTAAGGAGCCAGTGTAAGGAGCTAGTGTAACTGTGTAATGAGCCAGTGTAAGGAGCCAGTGTAACTGTGTAAGGAGCCAGTGTAAGGAGCCAGTGTAACTGTGTAAGGAGCCAGTGTAACTGTGTAAGGAGCCAGTGTAACTGTGTAAGGAGCCAGTGTAACTGTGTAAGGAGCCAGTGTAACTGAGCTGTGTAAGGAGCCAGTGTAAGGAGCCAGTGTAAGAAGATTACCTAATTTGCTACACTTAATATTCATGAAAATATTTATCTTATAATTAACTTTAAATTAAATCCGCAAAAAGTGTAGCCGTTGTCAGAACGTGCATTCCAAGACTGTAGTTATGCAGGATTGCAAGCAGCGTACTTAACAATGTGTCCAGCTCTGCAAGCAGCACAGGGGGAGGCATTGCATGTTGACACTTGTAAAACTGACTTGTAAAACTGTGCATTTAGCAAGGTGTGATATTTACCGTTATTTTTAGTAGTGATCAACAAACAGCTTCACTGAGTACCTCCTACATATGTAGCATTGTACGTGTTGTGTTATTATAAATAAAGGTAGATTTTCAAGACATACATACATGTTACATGGCGAGATCTCCATCCAAAAGGATTAGTCTGCGTCGACTGCGTCATTACTTTGTATTATACAACTTCGGCGGGTAACATTTCTCCATCCCTTTCGGTCTGCAGCTAATCTTCTCATACAATCAATCGTGAGTCCATTCCGATCCAATCTCTGCTCAGCATCCTCAATAAATACATCATTTAGGCTCTTCCTAGGCCTGCCTCTTGACCTCTTCCCATGCTTGGGTTTCCATTCAAGTAAATAGTTGGGTAACCGATCTTCAGGCATTCTACTGACATGTCCAAACCAACGCAGCCGTTTTGTTGTTATTATGTCAGCAAGAGCAGTTATTGATGCCCTTCTTAAAACATCCTCATTACTTACTCGATGGAACCACCTCACTCTCAGGATTCTTCTTAAGCAGTACTGATGGAAAGACTCCAATCTTCTTGTCTGCACTTGAGTCGTGTTCCATATCTCACATCCATAGGTCAGAATGGTAAGAACAGCTGCGATGTAGATTCGCACTTTGTTGTTAATGCTTATGTTCTTATTCTTCCAAATGTTGTTGAGTTGGTTAAAAGCTCCAGTTGCTTTTCCAATCCTGACACTTATTTCTTTATCAATCTTGCCATCTGATGTAATTTTGGCACCCAAATAAGTGAATTGAGTGACCTGCTTTGCAGAGTTTCCATCGACAGTTATATCTATGGTCCTATTCTCTGGGAGTGGGTGCTGCGATGTATCTTTCCCAATGACCATGATCTCTGTTTTCTTTGCGTTCATCTTTAAACCCCCGAGCCCACAGTATTTCGCAATATTGTCCGTAGTTTCTTGCAGTCCTTCAACAGTGTCATCCATTCCTGCGATGTCATCAGCATAGTCCAGATCAATGACACATTTTCCGGTTGTCTGGAACTTTGTCTGTACTGAAGAGTAAAACCACGGGATATATTTTTAAACTTCTCTGCAAGTTCTAATCCCCAGTTAAGTACAAGATTAAAAATGGGGGGCCCTTGCACATCACCTTGTCCAGTCCCCGAATCGACATCAAACCATCTTGTCAATTCTCCATTGACACGAACTGCACTTTCAGTTGCTCTAAAGAACGCTTTGAAAACATTGATATATTTTGTCGGAAGACCATAATGTTCAAAAGCTTTCCAAATAAAGTCACGATTGATTGAATCAAAAGCAGCTTTAAAATCAATAAAGTTTATGTACAAAGGGACGTTGAATTCTATACAATTGTGTATTATACAATGAAGTGAGTACAGCTGATCTATACAAGAACGGTTTCTCCTGAAACCACACTGATTCTCTCTGAGTAATTTTTCAAGCCCATTACTCAGTCTTTTTAACAACACAATTTGGAATAACTTTGATACAGTTGAGCGTAACGTTATACCTCTGTTATTGTTGCAATATGTGAGGTCCCCTTTCTTTGGGATGATGGTGATTATCCCTTTTCTCCAATCATTAGGAATATCCTCACTTTTCCACACAGTTTCAAAAAGATCCTTTAACCAAGGCAGAAGTCCAGAAGAACCGTACTTTAACTGCTCATTTGAAATTTCATCAATTCCAGCACTCTTGTAGTTCTTCAACTTCTTGATAGCTTCCTCAATTTCAAACAAGGACGGTGGCTCATCATCATTACTAAGGTATTCAAAAGAAAGTAACTTTTCATCCTGATCCAATATAGAGAAATCCACCGCATTTGCTGCTGGCGTCAAGAGTTCTTCAAAATATTCGGCCCAGCGATGTGACTGAGCTTCGGGATCTGATATAAGTGTCCCATTCTTATCCCGCACTGCCGCAGATCTGTTTACTCTCTTGTTTGTTAAGGATTTTATTTTCTGCCAAACATCTCTTTGTTGACCCTGCTTGGCAGCATCTTCTAATTCCTCAGCTACTCTAACAGCCCAAGCATTATCATCTCTTTTACAGTTCTGCCTAACAAGGCCGTTAATCCGCGAGTACTTAGCACGGTTCTCAGCAGTACTGGGTTTCTTTTTAATCTCCCCTCGTTCTTTTAGGAGATTTTTAGTATCCCTTGAGAGATGTTCTGTTCTCTTTTTCCGGCCCCTTTCACCCAGCACTTCAAATGAAACATCAGTTATTATATCTCTCAATTTCTTCCACTGTTCTTCTAAAGGAGAGTTTCCATGCTCCTGATCGTTGTTATAGTATTCTTCAGCTATTCTGTTACTATATTCCTGGCTCTTAGATCTATCACGCAGGTGCTCTAAAGCAGGCTGTCTTACACGCTTCTTTCTTTTCTGAGGACACTTAAGTTTAATAGATACATATCCTCTTACCAGATAGTGAGTAGTATTTATATCTGCTCCTCTCATGCTCCTGACATCAAGCAAAGAATGGCTCCATCTCGTCGAAATACACATATGGTCAATTTGAGTGACGGTGTTACCATTTGGGGATCTCCATGTTGTCTTGTGGATATCTTTGTGTTCAAAGAGTGTGCCTCCGATCGTCAGCTGGTGCATAGTACAGAAATCTAGCATCCGTTTTCCGTTATCATTTGATTCTGTGTGATATGAGTGTTTTCCTATAACACCAGGGTGAGCATCAGTATCCCTTCCAACACGAGCGTTAAAATCTCCTAAAACTATTTTTATATCATGTGCAGGTAGTCCCGATTGAACCTCATTCAATTCCTTGTAGAATGAGTCTTTTAAACTAATCTCTGCATCCTCAGTTGGAGCATACACAACTGTAACACTAATGTTGATGTGTTTGCTATGTAAACGGGCAGTCATAACCCGTCCTGATACAGGGGTGTATGATATGAGAGTATTCTTCATCTTTTTGGAAAGAACAACACCAACTCCTTCTCTCCGTACTCCATCGCTCCTGCCAGAATAAACCAAAACAGCCCCATTGTCCAAAGTCTGAGTTCCTGATCCAGCCATATGTGTTTCAGTTACCCCAAGGAGCTCTAGTCCATAATCATCAAAACCTTTTCCTAATTGATACATCTTACTGGAATTACTGACAAGAGAAGTAACATTCCATGTACTGATACAGAGAGGATTCTTTACAATATTTACAGGATTAGACATACTTGACTGTCTGTTTACAAATGACAAATCTGATGAAGGAATTCTGTATTTACAGTGTTTACGTCGGCTCTTACGGGAGTTGCAAACAGACATCAAGCTACTAGGGTCCTTTCGGCTTTGCCTAGTCGCCGTCATCACTCCACCTGCGCCTCCACGTATAATACTATTGAATGACACTGTAGACGTTTCTGTAGCGGTTTGATTTAAGGTGGATGGTTTGCCGGACCTTCGCACCCGATCCAGAGGCAGCACCGACATCAAGAAGTAAGCGCTCCGTCCAGACACCAGCAAGCTGGTGGTTAGGTTCGATACGTAAAGTTAAAGCATGTAGAGCTTCTGAAGCCCATAGGGAATCAAAATTAAACCGTAAGTGATCATGTCAGAGACAAGATCACCAAGCAAATGCTCGATTACACAGGGCAACCAAGACTTGGACAAAATGGTGAACCGTGAGTGACACACAGATGACCCTGCCACAAGACAGCATCACCGAGCACCACCCAGCAATCGCATCCTCTCGCCGCCACAGCAACCGACCCCCCAGTGATATAGCACTGACAGGCAATTAACGGTTTTGTGGTGTTACCACTCCCAGGTGATCTGTGCTAACAGACTCGGACCAGATGCAATGGGGAACAAACAATTTCAAGACGTGCATATATATAATACTACTAGGTCACTTGCGTGTCTCCAAAATATCTTTATTCTTTTTGTGGTATTTCTATTCCGAAGAAACAGAAATAATGGCCAGATGAAAAAAACTGTAGTATAGTACGGCTTGAAATAGAATTATTCACAATTTGCAATTTTTATCAAACAAAGAAGATTGACGCATGTTGAGTTTTTATAAACAAATTATAATGTACAACTAACACTATCTCTCTTTTTCACTATGGAACGTTTTCTCGTAAAGTTTTATAGAGTTCAGAGTTGTAAGTCAGCCGGATTAAAGTACGGCTTTGTAGTGCAAACTGCACAAGTATCATGCTTACACTTCAGGTTTAAACATGTATTCTTCTTCCAAGAAGAGTTCTCTTCAAGATAAACATGTTGTATAAATCTTGCGAAAAAGGCTCAAAATCTGGCATTCCAAAGGGTAATGTAGATACAATCGTTAGTACAATTTATAAAGCAATAGATTTAAGGTTTTCATTTATCGTATCAAAAACCAAGTTTAATATAAATAGCTTGAAAAACAGCTGGCCATGTAGCGACATTCAGCTCGTACAATATTCAGCTTTCTATCAAATCCACCTTAATATGGTAAGGAAGTAATTAATTAAGTAATTAATTAATTGCCATGGTGACCTTGACCATTTGTAATTAAATTAGGAACGATTAACGTGAACTTAAGTTCGATTTACAAAAAGTAATTCAGTGAAATCTTGAAAGAAAAATTATGCATGCACCAGCATTACTTTTCAAATATTAATCATTGCGAATTCAACTTTTTAGGAGCATAAATTGGGCCGTATTTATTAAAGCAATCGCGTTAAAACCATGAATTAAATGCTATGATCATCGTGAGATCACTAGATTCAAGAAAAAAGCACTCAAATTTCAACCCATTCAATCTGAAGTCTGAACCAAATCTTTAAAAATATGCACTGATGGAAATTCTTCTAAACTCGATGAACTTAACAAAAACAACCCGAACCGTTAAAATCACTTTTAAAGTACTCTCAGAGCAAAAAGTAAACCGTTTAAAATGCTAAAACAAATTGAAGAGAAAAAAGGAAAAGTAAAGCCACATGCTCTTATTACAGTCATCAGAGATCAACTTGTATCATTATCATCATCACCTGTATTAAACTCTATATTATAATCTATTAAAATATATACACAGAATCAAAGCCCTGAATAATCGAATTAAGCGTCGTTCGTGTAAAAATCCGTCTTAAGTCTGCATTCCTACCACGCCTGAAATACGGAAAAATAATGTTAGATATTTATCATACTCATCATTACATTACATTTATCGTATTCATTACATTTATCTAATTCATCATTACATAAACATACTTAGCATACTCCCTCCCTCCCTCCCTCCCTCCCTCCCTCCCTCCCTCCCTCCCTCCCTGCCTGCCTGCCTCCCTCCCTCCCTCCCTCCCTCCCTCCCTCCCTCCCTCCCTCCCTCCCTCCCTCCCTCCCTCCCTCCCTGCCTCCCTGCCTCCCTGCCTCCCTGCCTCCCTGCCTCCCTGCCTCCCTGCCTCCCTGCCTCCCTGCCTGCCTCCCTCCCTGCCTCCCTCCCTCCCTCCCTCCCTCCCTCCCTCCCTCCCTCCCTCCCTCCCTCCCTCCCTCCCTCCCGGCTTCCCTCTCTCCCTCCCTCCCTCCCTCCCTCCCTCCCTCCCTCCCTCCCTCCCTCCCTCCCTCCCTCCCTCCTTCCCTCCCTCCCTCCCTCCCTCCCTCCCTCCCTCCCTCTCCCTCCCTCCCTCCCTCCCTACCTCCCTCCCTCTCTACCTCCCTCCCTCCCTCCCTCCCTCTCTCCCTCCGACACACTATAAAAAAACATACAACATCAAACAATATCGCCCTGTTTTTTTATATTTTTATATAAATAAATATTCAACGCACAGGACAACAAATATGTTCCTTATTTGACTAACACGACAAAATCTCCATGCAAGGCCAACTCTGCGTGGCATGAACAAAAGAGTGCATCAGTAATTAGTTATTGAAATATCTCCAACACAATATACTCATCGAATAAAACATGGACAAACTTACCAAAAACAAGGCGCTCATAAGATTTCGCACTTAAACTTCCTGATTCCCTTCCTGCTGCTATTCTTAGTGGTTTTCTGGGTCATGCCCATGTACTGGTTAGTCTTCCTGACCAACTCCACGAACAGTTCCCTCACGTTAGTGTCTGTTTTAGCACTGGTCTCTATAAAACTACAGTTCCACGATCGTGTAGCCAGCTGATCAGCCTGAAATAAGGGGATATTAAATATTTTATATCTTTACTGTATCTAGACACGTGACAAAGGATACAACACACAAATGAGGCTACGTTCTTATTATATTTAGTCATCATAAGAACTGCTGTTTTAATTTCGCGATAAATATTCTAGCTATAAATATATTATATGTTAACATTTGTCGTAAGTTATTGAATGGACTTGTTGTATTTTGATGACGTTAGATCTATTTGAATCTACTAACGTCATGATCTTTAAAATAGCACAATAAAATAAGTTTTAATAAAGCCTCACTACTTTATCCTTTGTACTGTCCATCATATCTCGTTAAAAACAGATATGACCCCAATATGAGCTACGTGATTATGTATAATATATAATCATGTATAATGTATAATGTATAATGTATAATGTATAATATATAATGTATAATGTACAACATGAGCTTCCCAAATCCAAGGTAATCACAGATTAATTCGGAGTCACCTAATTTTATTTAGAGGTAAAGGGATACGCTTATAATATTAACGTACCCATTTGGGCAAATAAAGACTGGATGTCTCTTTAATGATGTCAATGTTTTAAGAAAGTGTTAAATGAGAATACGGCCAATACACACATCCCACGTGGGGGGCAGGATTAAAGATTAATATAATCAGTTTAATGTACAAGTTTCTTGAACTCTTAACAGGTACCCCTCCTCATTTAACCCTCAATTAAGTTTCCTATCATTCGGCTGAGTCGACCGAGGAGATCGCATAGATCCAACGGACCTCTACGTGATAATGCATAATGTATAATTATATATCGAAACGAAACGAAACGAAACACAATATTTACTACCCCGCTCGTATGCGACAAAGATATTGCATAAAATATACCTAAATAATTTACACAATACGGTGCCCATGTCTGAGCGGCTCTCCACAAAAACTTTCTCTCCTCCTCAGAGCAGAAGGTTTTTTTTAAATATATAAACTGGGATCTCATAAAAATTTAAGAACCAATGTACTTTATTTGACAATAAAAGATAAAAAATTGTGTCACACCTAAGGTTTATAAACTACCAAGACGTGCGCCGAGTTAGACTCGTCGACGGTCTTATATGATTAGAACAAAAAATTTACGAGTATCACCCGTTAAGTCACACACAAGAAAAACTTCATGATTATACATCGTTCACTATGATATCTTGTCCTCACAACAAATAACACCACTTCTGATATAATATCGTCTATTCAAATCCTTCTTTGCCTTCTCTTTCATCTCCAAAACGAGCAGATGATGTCTGGCTTGCTCTTCAGGTGACCGATCTGGTGAAATGAACACAGTTTTGTGGTGCTCACTCAGTTTCAGGTTTTTCGATTTTGATAAAATCTGATGTACAGTATTCGAATTTGATAACAAAATTTTGACAGGTCTGGTCTTGTCAGCTGATTTCCTTCCAATCCTTACAGCTTCGAAGTGTGGTTTCACTTCAATCTGTTCAAACAGTTCGTCTACTTTGTCTGATAGTTTCTCTTCATCTGCCTCCTTTAAACCAAAAATGAGAACATTCCTGCTGCGATCCTCTTCTGACACAGCCTTCTGCACAACTTTTTTCAGGCACTCCTCCGTTATTGTACTGTTCGGCGAGGCTTTTAACACCGCTTGACTGTATGACTTGATTTCAGCTTGAACAGTGTCCTGAACAGCAGATTTTACGGTGGTCTGAACTAATTCCAACTGATTGGATTTGGCTTCAAGAAGTTCCCTCTGCAGTTTGATAACCGACTCTTGTGATCGGATGAGAGAACTCTTCAATTCCTCAACATCTTTCATTGCATTCAGAGTTTCTCCGACGACAGAATTCAACTGATAGTACATATTATACATCAAATTTGATAAAACCTTCTTGACTGGCTTTTCAAACTTTTCAACTGAAAACCTTGTTCTATTTTCACAGTTCGTGGCTTCTGCAATATTCGAAATTAAAGCCTCGAAATCCTCATTCGCTTCGTTGAAAAATGCAGAGTGTCCTGATAAACGCTGCAGTAAATCTGTGTTCTTCATCATGTACTTAACTTGTATTACAAGGCTACACGGTGGTCGCAGTGCAATTAAACGATTTTACTGATAAGAGAGCAACTGTTATCAACACACAAGCTAAAAGGTTACGTTATAATAATATATAATGTATAATATATAATATATAATGTATAATGTATAATATATACTATATAATGTATACTATATAATGTATACTATATAATGTATAATGTATAATGTATAATATATAATGTGTTATGTATAATGTATTATGTATAATGTATTATGTATTATGTATTATGTATTACGTATAATGTATAATGTATACTATATAATGTATACTATATAATGTATACTATATAATGTATACTATATAATGTATAATGTATAATGTATTCTGTATTATGTATAATATATAATGTATTATGTATTATGTATAATGTATAATATATAATGTATAATGTATAATGTATTATGTATAATGTATTATGTATAATGTATAATGTATTACGTATAATGTATTACGTATAATGTATAATGTATAATGTATAATGTATACTATATAATGTATAATGTATTATGTATAATATAAAATGTATTATGTATAATGTATAAAATATAATGTATTATGTCACGTGATGATATTACCTGCTCCTTGCTGACCTCTCTGTCCATCTCCATATCACACTTGTTCCCAACCAGAACCATAGCTACCTGACTCGAGCTCTTCACGTCCACTATTTGTTGGTGTATCGTCTGCGAGGTTATCACGTGTTATGACGTGTTATGACGTGTTTAATGTTACAGTTTGGTTACAAATAATAATATAATAATTATAATTCAATGTTCGCAAAACTAAGTAAGTTTTACTGTTAGCTGAGAAAGTCTCCAGTACATTGCATAATGCACATTATGTACTGGATGTATAATGTATACTGTACATGTTACACAGTACAGACAGCTCCTGCTCTCAGTTTCTTAGAACTACTTAGAACTACGAGACACTCTCCGCTACAACCCATTTGCTAGACACTAATAACCACATTTATTTCATCCAAATCAATTTAAATGTTTTATTAAAATAATTGTTTTACCAACTAACCTGGAGTTCCAGAAAAGATGCCTGACTGTCGATGGAGTACACAAGCGCAAAAGCGTGTCCGTTAGCAATGTAAAGTTGCCGCATAGCTGCAAACTGTTCGGTTCCTGCAGTATCGAGTATTTCCAGAGTGCAGGGAGCACCGTCCACCTAATAGCGGAGATATTTATAAATGATACATTCAGTAACTATAGTAACTTGGGTATATTGTACTAACGTATACTCTATATATATCCACGATATATAGAGTGCTCTGTACTTTATTTATAATTGATGATCTTAGTAAAGTATTTTGTTTTTTTCTTACAAATTTAGAGCAGAATGCGTTATATAGCTTGCTCACCACAAATTTGGGGCAATAATACAAAGAGTGATCTACTTAAGTCAGTGCCAAAAATAGAAAAAAAAAAGTGGGGAGATAAAGAAACAAACCTCTATCTGATGCCTATAGAAATCTTCAATTGTCGGATCGTATTTCTCCACAAAGACTCCCTGGACAAGTCGCATTGTGAGGGCTGATTTTCCAACACCTGAAATGAAATGAAATGAAATAATGTGCTTGTATACCGCCCACATGGTTAGCAACTGACACAAGTGTCAGGTACTAACCATGTCAGAGCGGTTTTAAAGGGTGAGGTGAAAATATGGTGAGGGCTGATTTTCCAACACCTCATAATAATAAATTGAAGTTTAATAACACCACTATTAAGATAAAACTTATACTCAGCAGTGTTTAAACTAATCATCCCAGAAAATAACATGAATACTAAGTTAAGAAAAGTAACTTATGCTTGAAAACATATCGTCAATTATACTAAAGCCAGAAAATGGTACTTAATCATATTATGCAAAGATCAAATACCAGATAAGACAAAAATATATAAATAGTTACCTCCCGCCCCCAGGATGACAAGCTTGTATTCTCTTCTCATAGCCATCCTATTATAATAGTTAATAATAGTTAAAAGTTAATAGTACGGCAATTCGGTAATGTAGCTACGCATAGTTTAAAAGGCACGGTTAAGGCACGGTTAAAGCACAGTTAAGGCACGGTTAAGACACCAGGGTTACATAAGGCACGGTTGAGGCACGGTCACTTAAAGCACAGTTAACGCACAGTTAAGGCATGGTTACCTTAATTCCCAAAAATTTGGGCGACAAAAAATTTGAGCGGGCCTCTCGCCCAAATTTTTTGCAGACCAAATTAATTGCATAAATCTTTTCCGTCTGCTAAATTTTTTGCTAACCAAACTTTTGGCATTTGGCCTGTGGCCCTGAAATCTATAAAAAGATGGCTTTTTCTTCATATCCAAGTGAAATAATATTTGAAATTTTAGTTTTCTAATCTGTCATTCATGACCAAGTAAAAAAGCTTATATTTTAAATGAATGTCTGGTTAATTAAAATTAGACTTGACCTTTGGTCCGGGTTTACAGTAGTTCGCTACACACAATTATGTACACCTTTGTTTCCCCCAAAGCTAAGCGTATGTGCCGCTTAGTTTGATAGATCATGATGTAAACCTTCTAATTTTCTTCCAAACCTTTCGACCATCTGGTGAGGCGTCATAATGATAATTGTATGTGAAAGGGGTATGATAAGATATGCTGAGTGTAAGTAGACTAAACTATCTGATTGAGAGACTAAATATCACTATTGTATATCTATCATTTTGTACTGTGCCATCATCACTGTATTTTTTAGTAGTTACTGGGCAGATCGTAAATTTCATAATGTGAAACAACTCAGACTACCACCTACATGCTTAAAATTTAAAGCAAAATGACTGGAATAGTAAGGAATAATAATGAACTAAGGCAAATATCTAACTGAAATTTTAGTGGAAAATCGTTCATTTTTCGAAGAATCTGTGCCCAAATTTTCGGTATAAATTGTGCTCAATATAATGGCACACAAATTTTTGGGAACTAAGGTAACTCACAAACTGCTAATAAGCAGTCATTAACGCACGGTTGGGGAAATATAACCTATAAACAGTGGTTAACTAAGGCACTGTAATAGAGTGACAGAGCTTGTTTATTTCAGGATATGATCCATGTCAGCTGATCAACAAGATAAAAAGTTTGCATGTATTAAATGGTGTGCGGGTGGCCGTGGTGTCAGCACGCAACAAGGTTGGGTGATGTGATCTGAGCTACTGGTACATGACTGCAAAGTAGGTTGTGCAGATCACCTCGCTCAAATAAACAGGTGTTCAGATGTGAACTCGAAGAAAATTTCCGTCTAGTGAGTACATAATTAGTAAACATGAATCTCGGGATTCTTGCTCAGGAGACGTTAACTTAATTTGAAGAGCCTGGTTACTTGAAGAGATCGTTAATCGAAATAAGGATTTCAAATATAGGACGGTCACATGAAGCAGGGCTGTTGCTTTAGAATTAGAATATTTATTCATAGCGGGAATCGCACTATAAAATTTACAGATCGTCACATTCAGATCATGTGCCTTAGTTAACCACTTGTATGTTTATAGGTTATATTTCCCCAACCGTGCGTTAACCGTGCCTTAAGTTACTGTGCCTCAACCATGCCTTATGTAACCATTGTGCCTTAACCATGCCTTAACCGTGCCTTAACCTTGCCTTAACCCTGCGTAGCTACATTATCGAGTTGCCAATAGTACTAAGTTTACAGTAGACTAGGTGACACTGGGATTCGAACTCATAGCCATCCTATTATATTGATATTCAATGTTAATCTTAAATGATAATCTCAATAAATCTGTGTATGTGTGTGTGGGAAATTTCCGAGTGGCTATTTTTTTAACGGTACGGGACTGGTGTTTTTGGTAAAGTGCCGACAAAACTCTGACGTAGCCAATAAGCAATTTTTTTTTAAATCGGCCGGTGGTAATTGGTTTTATTGATGGTTTATTACCACAAATGTGACATAAAATGGCTCACTTTTTGTCCCCCTGGGCGCAGGCTCTCTTTTCCATTACTGCAGATTATGTAGCTTTGGTTCATGAATCATAATTAAGTTAGCCCCCGCAAGTGATACTGTAAGCTTATTTTAGAGAAACAAATTTTTTTTTGGGGTGAGTCGGAAACTGCCAGCTGTTCTGACATTTATAGACTTTAAGAATGCTTTCGACAGTGCACATCGTGGAAAAATGCTCAAGATTCTAGAAGCTTATGGCATTCCAGTCAAAATCGCTTTAATAAGACCTCATCTTGAGTATAGTGTCCAATTGTGGAATCCACCTGCAGCTCATGGAAGTTGGGGGACTATTTTGGAGCTGGAGAGCGTCCAGAAGCGGTTTACCCGTCTGATTGATGAGTTGGGTACTCTTCCTAGCAGCTGTAGACTGGAAATCCTCAATTTGACAACGCTGGCAGAGCGGCGAATACGTGGGAACCTCATAGAAGCTTTTAAAGTACCAGGTGGTTGGACTGATTATTATATGGATCGGGGATGTTTAGAACTGGCAGATCCGGTCTTAATCTTGTTTCAAGCAATAGATGTAGTAGAAGTTTAACTTAAGTAAAGAATATCAAGAAGTCTTTTCTCCCGGAGCGAGTTTTTCCATATTGGAACAAACTTCCTACGGACGTCAAGAACTCTGTGACAGTTTAAGGCTTTAAAATTAAATTGGAAGGATTTAAGAAAGATATGATTTCTAAAAGTATTACAAATGATTGCTTTTTTTTGGAATGTTATGCCAGTAATAAAGAGAAACATAAGGATTATCTTTGGTTTCATCCTTATGTGGCAAAGAAGCGTTTTATAAATCTGTATTCCACTGGGAAGTATTTAAAATAGGATAATTTATTTGATGATTTTTTTAAATATTGTATTTCATAAATAATTAATGTTGGTGGGGAATTATTTATTACATATTTTTTCACATAGTGCGATAATATTTTGTAGACATGTGTGATGATGTGATGTCATAAATTTTTGTATCACGTTGCGACCCCTGTCCTGACGATACAGGGGGAGCCGCGCACTTCGTGCGCGGTGGGTCATACAAGAAAAGACAATTTTTGATTCACTTTCAATACAAACTTTTTATGAGGATCACAACATGCAAATACAGAGAAAAACGAAATTTTAAGAAAAACAAAATTGTTATTTACCACAAAACAATCAATACATATTATGTTATATTCATAGATAAATTCAAATTTAAATTTCAACCTTATATACACCCCGTCGCGCACACAGCCACACATTGTTTATATATATTAGAAACCCTCAGGTGTGGCTGTAAGCGCCGCGCGCAGGGTCTATTTTGATTGACGATGTCACCCTTTCCAGATCGTTCCAGCAACGCGATTTTTTCATATTCGTCATATTCGTCATATTCGTCATATTCGTCATATTCGTCATATTAGTCATCTTCGTCATAGAATGCTAGTTCGCGCGGCGCGTCGAAGCGGCGAAGTCTTCCAAGGTCTATTCATGCAGATTCAATTGTTATTTTACAATTACATGTCACATTTATTAATTACTAGAACCAAAATTTCAGAAGCAGAATAATTTGTAAAAATTTTTTGTTGTTTGCGCAGTCACAGGGGGCTGAAACCAGGTTTTCGATCAAACGCTGCCATTTGTAGTCAAAAGTTGCCAACAGTTGCTCTCGTCCAATGAAATCGCTGCATTTTGCCTGCCATTATGCATAATTGAATTACATATATTCGAATCCGAAGCTTGGCTTTCATAATAATCATAATGCAGCAATTTCATTGGACGAGAGCAATTGTTGGCGACGTTTGACTACAAATGGCAATGTTTGATCGAAAACCTGGTTTCAGCTCCCCCTGTGCAGTACAGTATTTACACGCCCATCGATAAAGCAGTTGCCAAAAAAAGCTCAAAGTCAATTCACCTAGCTTCGTACTCCGTTTTGACATTAAGCCATATGATTTGCACGCGTGGCGCATTCCAAATGCTAGCACGTGACACAATTCAGCCCATCAGAGTACATGAATCCGCAAAGTTCAAAGTTTGAAGTTAAAGTTGCAAAGTTTTGATCGGCCCAAAATGAGACTTTCCTGGAGATTTAAATATAACTCAACAATTACATTGTTTCAAATTTCCCCCTGTGCCGGGAAACATTATTTTTACAAAACGAACATTTTGCAAAAAACCGGAAGTCTAGTCAGTTCGAACTCTTTTACTTTTAAAGTTAGGCCCCATCCAGCAAGGTTTCCTGGGACGCACTGCTGGGCCACGCCGAGCTGCGAAGAATTGACATCGTCAATTAAACAATGGACAAACGTATTTGTCATACATTGTATGACCCGCCGCGCACGAGTGCAGTGCGCGGCTCCCCCTGTATCGTCAGGACGATAAAGGGGGACCATAGTGAAACGACCGTGGGGTCGCAACGTGATACAAAAAAGTATCACCTGTTAAATATTTTACGAGTATCTATATCATATCACTGACCACTGATTAATTATAATATCATAACTGATAATTTGTAGTGTGATGCACTACTGAGCCGCGCCGCGCATCTTCCGTAGATCAGCGAGATGTTGTAGCGCGATGCGTTACTGTGCTGCGCCACGCACTCAATGGGGCTTCTCACAGCGACATGATCGGCGAAATGCGCTACTGTGTCTATTTTGCCTTAATTGACATCGTCAATTAAGGCAAAATGTTGATTGACGATGTCAATCCTTCGCATCTCGCCGATCTGCTTGGTGGTTGCGAGAAGCATTATTTGATGCGCGCGCGACCCAGTAGTGCATCGCGCTACAAGGCAAAATGCACCACTGGGCCTCGCCGAGGAAAGATTGACATCGTGAATCAATTTCATAACAAGCATACATTTTTCAATGTCCAATTTGTTCTCGACCTATCGGCTATCATCTTATAGTCATAAAATAGTGATCATGATATTCTGATCTCAATTATATAATGAGTTGCTCTAACCAGAGCCCTCTCGCTTGCAGTTGCGCGCGACCTTA